GTGCTCTGGTCCATGGGGTCACAAAGAGTCGGACATGACTTAACGACTAAACAACAACAAGAGATGGGAATATTCATATTTGTAAATGACTATGAATATCCCTGTCCCAGGTACACCTAATGCAAGTCCAGCCATTGAAACTGGCTTGTCCACTCAACACACCACTGCACTGCCAGCATCCCATTCTTCACGCCAATCTCTGAAGTAGATCCGCCGTCCCCCTGCTTGGCTGACCACTCGGCAGCTGGGTGGGGAGACTTGTCCTCCCTCCCCTGCCTGGAGTGACCAGCTTAGCCAGGAGATGGTAGAGCTATTTCTGCAATTGGCGGGTAGAGCAGGACACTGGTAGTGCGGCGGCACATGAGGAAGCATAAGCTGGGCTGAGAAACAATGACAATGCCTTGAGATACCTCCTTAAGTGGTTTCTAAACAGCCCAACATTGGGCTTCCTGGAACCCTTTTTGCACAGTAAATGTACTGACTGCATAGAAAGTGGGGGAAAAGATGATCCTTGGTTAACACTTGCTTCTAAACTCTGGAGCATTTATGTGACTTCTATGACTTCTAAAAACAGGACAATAGATGAGCTACAGGAATACTGCAGCATGAGCAGAGCAAAAATTGTTAGCATTGGTCTACATTGAAAGCTGAGAAGTGATAGGTCATGCTTAAGAATCTGAAAAATAAAGCTCCTTCAGGGCTCCAGGGTAAATGTACATGTTTTGGATCAAGACCCATTGAACTCAGTATTCTTTAAAGTAGAAAATAAAAACATTTCAGTACTTATTTTGTTGCATTTCTCTGAATTCCTACTACATTTTCTTACAGTTCTTGTTTCATACTTTGGTGGATTTCTTCTTTTCCTTCCAGCACTGAAATATCCATTTTTGCATATTTTTCTTAATGTGTGCATTTATCTGCACATTTTACCTCAGTGATTATTTATGTATCCAGTTTTCCAAATATATGCATTTCCTTCATTGACCGAAGTATTTTTGTGTGAATTTATTCAGTTACACACATTGCAAATTCCAGATTTGTATTTTTAAATGCGGGCATTATTATTGCACTTTATTTCTCAAAAATGTCCCAGATGCCTCACAAATATGCTAATTCTAAAAGCAAGACAGGGTTTTTATTTCCTCCTAATGAGGCTCGAGAGCACTAAAAGTATCACTTTGACTGAGATTGCTGAATGCAACAAAAGCCTTCCTTTTCACTCTAAAGTCAAGCAGATTGCTCTCTAACAGAAAACTGCTAGCACAACCCCAAAGTTCCTTTATTTCACCTGTTTTGTTTGAAGAATTTTGAAGTTAAACTGGGCTTACATTTATGAGCATTAAACTGGGTTCATTTTCACACTGTAAATGGGATTTTATTTTACAATCGTATTTGATTACAAGACCTACAAAACATTCTGTTTCTTCAAATTTGGGTGGGCAATTTCTAGAGGTCTGAGGATCACATCACCCACTGCCATACTCCAAAAATAGTATTTTTAAAAATTGCAGTAGGAAAAAAAAACCACAGCCTCTACTGGCTAGTTTTTAAAATAATTGGGATATGTGTAGGAGTCTAACAGGTGCTATCCATAAATCTCTCCTACAACGCCACATTTTAAATGAATTTAATTTTTCGTCTGGCGGTTTTCTTCATTGTCCTAATTTCACTTCAGCCCGAATCCTATAGGATGCACATATATAAAGAAAGGGGAAGGGTGTAAAGAGTAAAAAATAGATGTGTGAAACCTGTTGACTGGTATTCCAAATGTCCGCTACAATTATAGTCCCATTGAAATACAGATAAGGCCCCTGAGCCATTAGCAGCTGATTCTCAACATACAA